GAAAATAAAATAAAATAAATACATAATTATAATAAAGGTCAATCAAATGGACCAATATGGCAAGGCCACGATGATCCACTTGGTAAAGTAAATCCGCTTGGCATCTTTCTTGGCCTTGAGACAACAATTCTGATGGCTAAACATCCAAACGGGACAAAAATAAATAAATAAATAAATAAAAACAATAAAATAACCACACTACAGACAGACAAGCGACTGCTTTTGTGCATTGTTGTTAGCAACAACGATGCATGGCTCTGCCGCCCACTTGTTTATTTTCCACATAAAACTTTCACAATAGAGCTGAAGATCCTGTTGAGATTTTTCAAAATAAAATGAATCACGTGAAATAGTATGCAGAGTGTTTATGGATGAGAAGCAAAAAAGAGCCGTCAGGTGCTAAAAAATAAGCTTTAGAAAAAGCTTTTCCCAGGAGGATGCCATGTAATAAATACTGACAAAGAAAATGGCAGCCATTTCAACTTATGTCTAAAAATCTACAGCTCCATGCATCTGTCAAAACACTCGACTCCAGGTAAACGACGGCCAGCTGAAAACACTTCACGCAAGTCGAGCTGCCTGAGATTTACAGAATTTACAGAAAATGTAAAATTTTTGTGATTTATATCGTTATCGGGACGATAGATGTCTTATATCAGGATATGAGATTTTGGTCATATCACACAGCCCTAGCCTCAAATATTTGAACTTACGACAAACTCATAAGCTGGAGAAGAAACGGTGTCTCACTCATTTAGAAGCCTATCAATTAGCCTGAAAAAACAGTTTGGTGCTCTAGTTTTTTAAAAGCCCTCCATAAAATTAAAACATCTTACTATTCATCATTGATTGATGTACATAAGAACAACCCTAGATTTTACTTCAGCCCTGTAGCCAGACTGACAAAAAGTCAGAGCTCTGTTAAGCCGGGTATTTCTTTAACGTTAACTAGTTATGACTTCATACATTTCTTCACAAATAAAATTATAATGATTAGAGAAAAAAATTACTCCCATCTAACATACGTAACATTCCCTCGATTCAGAGATGGTCTTTCCCTTTTCATGTAAATGGCCTCCTTGACGCCGCACTCAAACCAGCGTTCCTCCCTGTCCAGGATGTTACATCCTCATCACTGAAAGAGTGTCCACTGGCCTGTAGGTGTGAATAGACTGCAGAGTCCTGATCTGATGAGGTAGCTCTTCTGTGTTGTGCCATCCGCTTTGCCAGAGGTTGTTTGGTTTCCCCAATGTATAAATCCTGGCAATCCTCCTGGCACTTAATACAGTCCACTACATTACTCTATTTGTGTTCGGGGACCCGATCCTTGGGGTGGACCAATTTTTGGCGCACCGTGCTTTGGGTTTTAAAAGCCACCGAGACTCGGTGTTTAGAAAAAATTGGTTTCAACTGTTTTGATACTCCTGACACATATGGGATCCCTACAGGTTTCGCTTAGTCGGCTGGAGCTTTCTTTTGACGCCTTCCCAGCTTTGACAAAAGTCCAGCTGGGATAACCACATTTACTCAGGGCCTTCTTGATGTGCTGTTCTTCTGCTTCCCTGGCCCTTGTGTCTGTGCGCTCTGTGCTGTAGCATCCTGATGACACCCAGTTTATGCTCCAGTTGATGATGAGAGTCAAACTTTTAATACTGATCCGTATGCGTAGGTTTACGGAGCAGATCAGCTTTTAGATGTCCCGCATTACTGATGGAAATCTCACAGTCTAAGAAGGCTAACCTGCCACTTTTCATATCCTCCCTGGTGAATTTGATGTGTCGGTCCACCGAGTTAATGTGATCCATGAATTGTGGTATGTCCTGAGATTTGACTTTCACCCAGGTGTCATCCATATACCTGAACCAATGACTTGGTGGTGTTCCAGGGAAGGATAACAAGCCCTCTTTTTCACTCCTTCCATGTACAAACTGGCCACAATGGGTGACACTAGGGAACCCATTGCACACCCATGTTTCTGCCTGTAGTACTGACCCTAGTATGTGAAATAGAAAACACTATGTCCAGATGAACCTTTGGGAGACAAAAAGTGAGCCATTTATTTTTGGCTGCACAGAAATACCAACAGAAGGCGAAGGGAGACCAACATTAACTAACAAAACTGAACTGGGGGAAACTAAACACTAGGTACATTGAACATGGGAACTATAAACCTAGAGAGAGAAGAACAGACTATCCGACAAGGGACAAAAGTAAACTCACAGAATGATGAGTGACAAAGTAAAAAAAAAAAATCCAAAAACATAACCACTGGTTCATGGACCCAAGACCATAACAGTACAGCTACTATCAGTTACATTGATATTTATTTAGACTCTTTTTCTCCAGTTGGTCTTTCTGAATTAACATCAGTAATTATTTCCTCCAAACTATCAACATGTCCTTTAGACCCCATACTTACAAGACTGCTCAAAGAAGTCCTACAATTAATTAATGTTTCAGTGTTATATATGATCAATCTATCTGCCATGAGGACACGCCATTACGTGGCAAATCTCCGTTTACAGGTTACTGCGGATCGCCCCGTGCGTGGGGCTGGACGGCGTCAACACGTTAACAAGCTACCTGCGCTAACGCACTAGTTCCCAGAAATTGAGCATTGCGTGGCACATCCAACATACTGTTTTACTTTTGTCCATGACGTGCTTACTATCAGGGTCATACTTCACATGAAGACCAAGATAGTTCCAAACGCCAGATCTGAATGAGGGTGGGGGAGGTTCAATTTCGGGTAGCGTTGAGCTGTGTGTTGAGCGCTCAGTGGATCTGC